ATCACTAAAGACCAACATAATTGCCTGGTTTAGGTTTCTCATATGCTGTCTTTTTCTCAAAAGATACTTGCGTACAGCCAGTTTACCATAGACTTAACATATAGGTATAACTGACCATTATAGTCAGTACAATTAATCTAGTTTTATGTGTGGACTTTCCAGTCCACACTGAAAGACACATTAAAGGTGGATCTGGAAAATGGCTCCATACAAGTCTTTTCATAATCTTTACTTACCTGTCAAGTTCGTGAAGTTGCATGGTTGTAAACTCTGTAGCTGGAAATTTACCTTCCTGAGCCAGGTTTCTCCTTCATTATCATGATGACTGGTTCAAACTCTCCTTTGAAATCTAATTTACTGAATCATGTTCAGTAACATTAAGGCTCTCAATATTACAATTTAAGAAAAAAAATTAAAAATATTTTGTAAGATCTAGTGTGTATCTCTGGGGTCCTGTATTTAAATGATAAGAATAGATTTACCTTTTATTGATTATTATAATTTCCCAATATAGACCAGTTGATCCATCCTAACAATTTAGCAAGAACTCTCAATCTTTTTTGTTTTGTTTTGTTTTGAGAGAAGGTCTCAAAATCTCTCTGTATTTTAGAATATTACCCTTTAAATAGGTGTCTCTTAATTGTCTTTAAAAATATGATCAAGGTTATTTCCCAGTGTAGGGAGCAGTAAATAAATCTTACCATATTTTTATAGATAATATGTCCAGTTAGAATTTATATAATATCAATGAATTTTTAAAGTTTATAAACTTTATTGTTCAAAATTAACATACAATTTTAATTTGGAGAAGTTCAGTCTTAATAAAATGTTTTTCCAAATCTTATAATTATCCAACAAACAAAATATGTAAGAATCAACAGTGTCTTTGAATCAATCAAATTAGTCTCTAAGGAGAATTGTCAAAATTGGGATCTAAGTTAATAGTTTAATATACTTAGTGTTTAATTAAGGAGGTAAAATTATTTACCAAAATTTTTGTCTTAAATAGTAAGAATCATTAGGCAATAAAGATCTTTTTAAGGAAATAAACTTAACATTTTAATATTGACAAAAATCTTAGCTCACATCAGCATAGTAAAATTGGGAAAATAGCCTGAAATATCCTTGAATTAATCAGTTAAAATTTTTATAGTTAGTCCAGTACATATAGATCTCTTTTTAAAACTGTTTTAACTTTTTATATAATCTGTTTAGATAATGATATAAAGATCTTTTTTAGGAAAATATTTTTATCATTAAAATCTAGAATATAAAGACCTTGTTTGGGGGCTGGGGATGTGGCTCAAGCGGTAGCACGCTCACCTGGCATGCGTGTGGCCCGGGTTCGATCCTCAGCACCACATACAAAACAAAGATGTTGTGTCCGCCAAGAACTAAAAAATAAATATTAAAAAATATTCTTTCTCTCTCTCTCTCTCTCTCTCTCTCTCTCTCTCTCTCTCTCTCTCTCAAAAAATTAAAAA